GAGTGCAATAGCGCATTGCGGCTCACCGCAACCTCCGCCTCCTGGGTTCAGGCAATTCTCCTGCCTCAGCCTCCTGAGTAGCTGGGATTACAGCCACGCACCACCATGCCCAGCTAATTTTTTGTATTTTTAGTAGAGACGGGGTTTCACCATGTTGACCAGGATGGTCTCGATCTCTTGACCTCGTGATCCACCCGCCTCGGCCTCCCAAAGTGCTGGGATTACAGGCTTGAGCCACCGCGCCCGGCCCGCATTTGCTTATTTCTTGTTTGTTTCCTCCACTAGCCCTAAGCTCCTTAAAGTCAGAGACCATGTTAGTTTTACTAGGTGTTGACCACAGAGCCTAAGACATAGAAAGCACTTAAAGTTGAATTAATGAATAAGTCATCCATCCATCCATCTATCCATCGAGTCACATTTATGATAGAATCTTCCCATCATGTAGAATACTATTTCTTTTTTCTTTTATTTTTGAGATGGAGCCTCGCTCCTGTCACGTAGGCTGGAGTCGGGTGGCATGATCTCTGCTCACTGCAACCTCCACCTCCCGAGTTCAAGTGATTCTCTTTCCTCAGCCTCCTGAGTAGCTGGGACTACAGGCGTGCACCACCACACCCGCTAATTTTGGTATTTTTAGTAAAGACGGGGTTCTCACCATACTGGCCAGGCTGGTCTCGAACTCCTGACCTCAGGTGATCCACCCACCTCAGCCTCCCAAAGTGCTAGGATTACAGGCATGAGCCACCATGTCTGGCTGTAGAATACTATTTCTCAGGGTAACCAGAGTTACCTGAGAGTTCTAGTTCAGGACTTAAGCAACAGAGGTAGTGAAGTTAAATTGCATGGGTTCCAGTTCTGATTCTACTGCTTACTAGTTGTGTGTTCTCAGGCAAGTTAGGAAAACCCCTCTGTGCATCAGTTTCCATACCTATCAACTGACAAAATAGTAGTACCTTTCTCTAAGGGAAGGTTGTAAGCAGTGTAAACAGCACCAGGGGTATAGTGCTTATACATGTGTTTTCCCTATGCAGTCTAGCCATGAGAGTGAGGACTCCATGTTTCTCCTCCTGTACCAGATGCCGAAAGGGCAGAGAGATGGACAAGGGTTGCCATGATGGAAGTGAGGCTACAGAGCATCCCTGGTGCATGCTGCCACATCTGTGCTGTGTGTTAGCAGCTAGGGGTGGCCCTAGGGTCTTCACTGAAGTGGTGTTCTGGGGATACTGTTCTTGCTGTGTAGCTCCCCCATCCTGATCCTCTGGCCTTTTTCTGATAGACAATCTTTAGTGGAGTCTTGTTCTTGCAATTGAGAAAGTTGACTGATACAGACATTAACACCGAATTCGTATTTCTTTTTATTTTCTTTTTGTTTTGAGACAAAGTCTGGCTCTGTTGCCCAGGCTGGAGTGCAATGGCGCAACCTCAGCTCACTGCAAACTCCACCTCCCGGGTTCAAGCAATTCTCCTGCCTCAGCCTCCCAAGTAGCTGGGATTACAGGCACCTGCCATCATGCCTGGCTAATTTTTGTATTTTTATAGAGACGGAGTTTCACCATGTTGGCCAGGCTAGTCTCAAACTCCTGACCTCAGGTGATCCACCTGCCTCGGCCTCCCAAAGTGCTGGGATTACAGGCGTGAGCCACCATGCCTGGCCCTGAATACCTATTTCTATGCCTGATACCTTACATGCAGTATTTCATTAACTCTTTACACAGACCCGAGAGGCAGATATTAGCCCCATTTTACAGATGAAGGAAACAGCTCAGAGAGATTTAGTAACTTGTACAAGGTCATGTAGCCAACGACTGGTAGAGCCAGGGTTCAAGGCCAGGGTGACTCCTGAATTTTTTTTTTTTTTTTTTTTTTTTTTTGACTCCTGAATTGCTCTCTCAATGTGATTAAAGTCCCCAGCAGGATTTTCACCTCCAACACTTGCTGTCTGTGATGACAGAGCACAGCTCAGCTCAGCCCGGGAGGGAGGAAATCGTGTGAATCTGGTCCCTAAGCAAGAAAGAGAAATAGGTCGGGCAGCCTGGGAGAGTTCTAGTTCCTGGAGGGGAACTGACCGTGCCTTGCCTGGGTCAGTGCTTCAGCATGAAGAGTCCTCCTCCCTACTGCCCCTAAGACCAGAGACATTTTCTCTCTGAGGTCTGAGCCCAACTATGGCTGGTGGGCCTGATTTTCATGGAAATGTGGAGATAGAAAACATCTGGGGCAGCTGTGGTTGCCAGGCAACAACCAGCCACTCACTCTCTTGCCAGAATAGAGGAGGCTGTCTGATGCTGACAGAGATAGCTGGATCTGAGCTGGTCTGGAGATCTAGATTTTGATTCTGATTTGCTGTGTGGTCTTGGGCAAGTCCCTGCCTTTCTCTGAGCCTCTGTTTCCCATCTTTTATGTAGAGAGCAGTCAGACTTAGAAGTGGCAAGATGAGCAGGCAACAGATGGTCAGAAGTAGAGTGAAAGTTTGGCACAGGCAGAGGACCAGGGCAGGTCATGGGTGAGGGAAGACTCATTCTCCCTTCCATCCTGCCCTAGGCTATCCTGACTCTGGTTACTAGCTAGGGGGAAGGGACGTTTCCTTTACCACCCTGAGCTAATTCAGACCACCCAGACTCCAACCCAGGCTCACTCTTGCAGCTCAGAGTCTAGGAATTGTTTTCATACCCGCAAATTAGCACAGCCACCACCTACTCAGCCAACTTTTCCCCATGGGGAGTTTCCTCAGTTCCTACTGAAGTGGAGCTACTCAGCTTTGGGTGTTTCCCTGGTCACCCATCAGAGGACCTTCTGACAGTCTGCAGATATTGCATTGATGGTAAACCTTAAGGGTGGTATGTTTCACAGCAATCAGCAGAGTTAACATTTTCTGTTTCATATCCATTACAAAATATGAGATAGCAGCTGCCATTTCCTGGGCGTGGCACAGCCTCAAATGCTTTATGTCTGTAATCTCATCTAATCCTCATACAATCCAGGGGGATGGGAATGAAGGTCCTATTGTACAGATGAAGACATGGAGCCTCAGAGAGGAGAAGTGATTTGCCCAAGATCCCCGGTAAATGGTACAGGCAGGGCTCCCACTCAGGGCCACAGCTTGGGGTTTACCCACTACAGGGCGCCACTTCCTCATAGTCCCATCAGAGAGCATCAGAGCTGGAAGGGTTCCACCTGCTTGCAACTTTACAGATGGACAAATCAAGGCCCAGAGGGAAGAAGTGACTGGCCCACAGTCATGCAACAAGTCAATGCTAGAGCAGATTCTAGGACTGCTCTCCCCAAAGGCTCACCACACCATTCCAGAAAACAAAATGCCTGAGGCAGAAGCAGCGGATAAACCAGAAATCTCATTTTAAGAAATCCATAGCTTTCTTAGGAAGTCAAACAGTGCATGGGGATTACAAGACAAGGATCACGCATAAGTTCTTGAGGTCAGAGCAGAGTCCCAAGATTCCTCTAGGCAGTAAGGGGCCTGTGGGTGTCACTTTTTTGGTCCTACAGATGAGGCTGCAACTTCAGCTACTGGCAGAGGTGATATGTATGTCCAGAATGTTCTTAACTGCCTTGCCAAGCTAATGCCTACCTGTCTTCAAGTGTTAGTTCAAGGTCACTTCTTGGGAGGGCCTCTGTGAGCCCCTAAATTTGCCCCACTGTAGATTCTCATGGCCCCAGCTCTTTTCCGTAAGAGCACTGACCTCAGTTTACCCTGTGGACTCACATCAGAGGCACATTTAACTAATGCTGGCTTTACAACTTATCCTCCAACCACTGACCTCTAAAGATGCCACCCCAGAATGTGGTATTATCCTCACAAAACCAAACTCATCTTTTAGCATGCACTAAGCTGATGGATGCTGAATACAGAAACAGATTGGAATCACCTCTGAAAGTACTGCTTCTCAGCTTCAGTGTTTCCCTAGAGATGGAGTCATTTTCTTAAAGGCAGAGAGGCTTCAATGTCCAGGTATCTCAAGATAGCCTTTCCTTTAGTTACTTATTTTAGCATACAGAAGAACTTAAAGAGGGAAGAGGGGACCACCAGCCAAGGAATGCAGCCCAAGAAGCTGGAGTTTATGAAAACCAATTCTCATGGAGCATACAAATGAATTGAGCACACTAAAGAATTATTGTGCAGTCCAGGTAATTTAAAGGCTTTATTTTTAAATTTTTATTTATTTATATATATTTTTGAGATGGAGTCTCACTCTGTCACCCAGGCTGGAGTGCAATGGCACGATTTTGGCTCACTGCAACTTCTGCTTCCTGGGTTCAAGTGATTCTCCTGCCTCAGCCTCCTGAGTAGCTGACATTATAGGTGCCCACCACCACGCCCAGGTAATTTTTGTATTTTTAATAGAGACAGTGTTTCATCGTGTTGACCAGGCTGGTCTCAAACTCCTGACTTCAGGTGATCCACCCGCCTTGGCCTCCCAAAATGCTGGGATTACAGGTGTGAGCCACTGTGCCCAGCCCTAAGGGCTTTATTTATTTATTTATTTATTTTTTGAGAAGGAGTTTCGCTCTTGTTACCCAGGCTGGAGTGCAATGGCACGATCTCGGCTCACTGCAACCTCCGCCTCCTGGGTTCAAGCAATTCTCCTGCCTCAGCCTCCCGAGTAGCTGGGACTACAGGCGTGCACCACCATGCCCAGCAAATTTTTGTATTTTTAGTAGAGACGGGGTTTCACCATGTTGACCAGGATGGTCTCGATCTCTTGACCTCGTGATCCACCTGCCTCGGCCTCCCAAAGTGCTGGGATTATAGGCGTGAGCCACCGCGCCCGGCCAAGGGCTTTAAATGTAGTTTTGAGCATGTCATTTCCACCTGACTACTGACTTTAAAACAGAATCCATTCAGAGACACCCTCATTATGATTATAAATATAAAAGAGTATTGAATTTCTACACACATATCTTTCCACAGACCCAAAGTCCGGTGATAATTTGTTTGGCTCATCTCTCTGTAACCACACCTAGCACCACGCTGGGCACAAAGCAGGTACTCAGTAAATGTTTGTTGAAGGAACAAATCAAACATGCTTACTTGTGAAAATAACACCAGAAGTGGTTTGTGTGGGTCTAGGTGGCTACAGGTGCTCTCATTCTTCAAGACAAGAAGCCACATACACACCACTGTGCATTTGCTCCCCCAAGTACACCAAGCCAGAGGCAGAGTGAATGGGAATGTGGATTTGTATGTTAATTATTCAGTCCACGCTACGTGAAAACCGGAGTCAGTTTTCTATATTTTTGGCAATAATATCTGTATCAGTTGCACAAATTACCACAAATTTGTGGCTTAAAACAAGATGATTTTTATTGTCTTACAGTTCTGGAAATCAGAAGTCCAAAATGGGTCTTATGGAGGCTAAAACCAAGGTGTAAGCAGGGCTGCATTCCTTCTGGAGCCTCTAGGGGAAAATTGGTTTTCGTAACTTTTCCAGCTTCTTGGGCTGCATTCCTTGGCTGATGGTCCCCTCTTCCATCTTCAAAGCCTGCAACACAGCATCTTTAAATCTCTCCCTGTTTTGTCTTCATACATTATTTTATCTTTTATAAGGGACCTTGTGATTACATCAGGCCCACTAAGATAATAATCCAGGATAATCTCTCTACATTTTAAGATCCTTAATGTAATCATATCTGCAAAATCTCTTTTATCATCTGAGGTAACCTTCACATGTTCTGGAGATTATGACCTGGTATCTTTTTTTCTCTTTGAGATGAGTTTTGCTCTCGTTGCTCAGGCCGGAGTGCAATGGCGCGATCTTGGCTCACCATAACCCCCGCCTCCCAGGTTCAAGCAATTCTCCTGCCTCCTCCTCCCGAGTAGCTGGGATCACAGTCATGTGCTATTACACCTGGCTAATTTTATATATATATATATTTTTTCTCATTTTTTTATACTTGCATTCATTCATTCATTCATTCACCCTTCAACCTGTATTTACCAAATATTGCTATATATCTTACACTACTAGGTGCTGCAGATAGAGAGCTCTCTAATGCAGGATCCCTGACCTTCATTTGATTTAGGCCGTGCAGTGGGGGAAACTGAATTATTTCTTTTTTTTTTTTTTTTTTTTTTTTTTTAAAAAAAAATTTAAAAATTAAAAAAAAAAAAAAAAGAAGGAGAAGAAGAAAGGGGAAGAGGAAGAGGGAGAGAGAACAGGGGTGTTGCTTTATTGCCTGGGCTAGAATGCAGTTTAAAAATGGGTATGCCTATAATTGTGCTTAATAATAGAGACGTGAGAAAAAAAAATGAGGGAAAATAACAAGCAGCCAACCAATATTTCATTTAAACCTGTAAATAGGTGTGATGTGGTACTGATAAGAGTGTATATTTTGTGTATTTAAATGGAGGATTCTATAACTGTTAATTAAGTCTACTTGTTCCGGATCTGAGTTCAAGTCCTGGATATCGTTAACTTTCTGTCTCATTGATCTGTCTAATATTGTGTATATATTTAGGATCTTCAGCTCTTCTTGTTACATTGATCCTTTTATCTTTATGTAGTATCTTTCTTTGCTTCTTTTGATCTTTATTGCTTTAAAATCTATTTTATCAGCAAAAATTGCAACTCCTGCTTTCTATTTATTTATTTTTGCTCTCCATTTGGTTGGTAAATCTTTCTCCATCCCTTTGTTTTGAGTCTTTGTGTATCCTTGCATGTGAGATGGGTCTGGATGCAGCATACCAGTGGGTCTTGGCTTTTTTTGCCTGTCTGTGTCTTTGGATTGGGGGATTTAGTCAATTTAAATTTAGAATTAATATTAATATATGTGAGTTTAATACTGCCATTTAATGTTAGCTGGCTGTTTTGCCCCTTAGTTGATGTAAATTCTAGGTTATGTTGATGCTCTTTATTTTTTGATATTCTTTAGAAAGGCTGATACTGGTTGTTCCTTTCTATGTGTAATGGTTCTTTCAGAAGCTCTTGTAAAGCAGGCCTGGTGGTGATGAAATCTCTGAGTGCTTGCTTGTTCACAAAATATTTTATTTTTTCTTCTCTTATGAAGCTTAGTTTGGCTGGATGTAAAATTCTGGGTTGAAAGTTCTTTTCTTGGCCGGGCGCGGTGGCTCAAGCCTGTAATCCCAGCACTTTGGGAGGCCGAGGCGGGTGGATCACGAGGTCAAGAGATCGAGACCATCCTGGTCAACATGGTGAAACCCCGTCTCTACTAAAAATACAAAAAATTAGCTGGGCGTGGTGGTGCGTGCCTGTAATCCCAGCTACTCAGGAGGCTGAGGCAGGAGAATTGCCTGAACCCAGGAGGCGGAGGTTGCGGTGAGCCGAGATCGCGCCATTGCACTCCAGCCTGGGTAACAAGAGTGAAACTCCGTCTCAAAAAAAAAAAGGAAAAAAAAAAAAAAAGTTCTTTTCTTTAAGGATATTGACTATTGGCCCCCACTCTCTTCTGGCTTGTAGGGTTTCTGCTGAGAGATCTGCTGTGAGTCTGATAGGCTTCCCTTTATGGGTAACCTGACCTTTCTCGCTGGCTGCCCTCAGTACTTTCTCCTTCATTTCAACCCTGGTGAATCTGGCGATTATGTGCCTTGAGGTTGGTCTTCTTGAGGAATATCTTTGTGGTGTTCTCTGTATTACCTGGAGTTGAATATTGTCCTGCCTTGCTAGGTTGGGAAAGTTTTCCTGAATAATATCCTGAAGCATATTTTCCAGCTTGGATTGATTCTCTTCGTCACATTCAGGCACACCTATCAAGTGTAGATTAGGTCTTTTCACATAGTCCCATGTTTCTTGGAGACTTTGCTTGTTCCTTTTTATCCTTTTTTCTCTAATCTTGTCTTCTCTTTTTATTTCATTAAGTTGGTCTTCGACTTCTGATTTCTTCTGCTTGATCAATTCAGCTGTTAAAACTTGTACATACTTTGCAAAGTTCTCGTGTCCTGTTTTTCAGCTCCATTAATTCACTTATATTCCTCTCTAAATTGTGTATTGTTGTTAACATTTCGTCAAACCTTTTTTCAAAGTTCTTAGTTTCTTTGCATTGGGTTAGAACAAGTTCTTTTAATTCCCAGAAGTTTCTTTTATTTTTTTTTTTGGGGGACGGAGTTTCGCTCTTGTTACCCAGGCTGGAGTGCAATGGCGCGATCTTGGCTCACCGCAACCTCC